GTGGGGGCGCGGGCGCTTCTTTTAGCCGCGCGGCTCCGCGCGCCGCCGCACTCGCCGCACGCCCCGCCGGGAGGGGTTCGCTTCGTCCGCCTCCACCGCGCCTCCACCTCGCCTCCGCCTCCGCCTTCCGCGCAGCGCGGCCGCCGGGCTGGGCCACCGCAGTGCATCCCCGCTTTCCAAAGGCTGCGGGACGCCGAGCGACGCCGAGCGAGGGAGCGGACCGGCGCAGGAGCACGTGCCACCTGACGCAGCCTCCTTGTGGCCGCGCGCTGGCGAACGCCGATCCGGGCAGCTCCCCGCAGGCGCGGCGCCTCCGCCCCGTGGCGCGCTACTGAGTGAGTACGTGTTGCTTCTCCAAAACTGGCCATCGTGTGTGATTTAGTGGCTTATGTGTTAGGGTTTTGAGTACCAATTAACTGCTCAGGTTGAGGCCTAATGAGTAAGATGATAGCGATGATAATGACAGCGATAATGATGATCGAGGAATGGTGGAATTAAAGGCAGTAAACGAGGGAGATCCTCGAGAAAATCTGCCGAGAGGTCGCTTTGACCGATAAATATTCTTCGTAGCTTGGCCAGGGAGCGAACCAGAGCCCTATCGGTGAGAGCCGAACAGAGAAGGAGTGAATAGCCATTCTGCATCCGTTCAGGTCACGGGCCCCCTGTGTGCACGATTGCCATTGCAATATTTTCAGTATTATAGTTCGTTGTGTTTTACGTAAACGGTTGCAAATGTGATTGCCTTATTGCTTCTTGTTTGACAATAGTTAAAGGAATAATAATGCCGATATCATCCGTGATTGATTGGTGCAGAATCTTTGCGGTAAATAAAACAATACTAAAATAATAAATTAAAAAAATCTCTATGCGGCATTGGAAAAAAAGGTGGGACCTCTTTCTCGATGCACAAACCAACAATTTAATAATGACTTGTGAATTAAGAAAGTTTTAAAAACAAACACCAACAGAAAAGCAAAAAACAACAACAACAACAAATGGCCTAGTTAACGTCGTTGACTCGTAACTTATTCAGTTTAGTAGTGTTTACTGCAAGTGAATTGCAGATAAAGGTTTGATATTTGCACAATGAAATGCATCATTACGACAGATGTAATTATGCATAATTGCAATAAATGGTGTTTGTTTCGTTTAAGGCTTTGAGACACAAGTAAAACTTCGCTTGCGATAAATGTAATGTGATTAGGCTACGTTGTGGAGAGTTTTAATGGCGTCCTTTTAATACTGAGACGTTATGAATGTAACTTTCCTTTTTTGGAATTATAAGTACTTTCATTAATCACAGGGAAAGTCCCACTCAACTCGTCTAAATTAAAGGAGAGAATTATATAACTGAAAGAGTGGCGATCCAGTTAGAAAAATTACGGAAAACATCAAGTTAAGTCAATAATAGTACAATGCCTGTAACATACAACGGGTTTGGTTTGTGAATTACAGTTGCAAAAACAATTGTTAGATATCTACACTTAAGGTGTCTCCACCATTTAAAAATCAACAATCTTCGTGAGTATGAAAATGAGAGTCACAATGTTTGCTTGGATGACAGTATGTACACGTGTACAAGAGGTGAGGATCAACAATAACAAAGTCTTTTACCTCCTTGTAACACTGAAAGCAAAATAATAGCATATCAATGGAACTTCTACTATGAAGAATGGAGGTTTTTTATTTTATATTGTTGTGATATGACAAAACAAAAGATTAACAATCTAATGTATTGCCAATTGCAAATATTATTTATTATCAATTAAAGAAAAATAATTTGGAGTAATATGAACGAAAACTGAGTATACGAGGATATGTATATGAAAAGCAGGTCTCCATTTATTACTGTTGGGGAATTTTAGAGTAGAGTTGTGGACATTGAAACTTCGGGGTATTTGAAGGTAAAATGCCCTTATTTCCTTGATTTCATCCGTAGCAGAAACGCGGAATGTAACAGGATTGGTAAATTAATTTTGACAGCCGAATATTCTACTATAGGGACGAGAAACACAATATTCATATTATGTAATATTAATGAAATGAGGTTAATATTCATATAATAATAATGTTTATAATATTATTAGTTTAAGTGATTAAAAATGAGTTTTAAAAATAAATGGTATTCACATTTTATGAAAAATACTTTCATTATATTTACTCTACGGTTTGTAATTTAAATCCTCGTTTATTACTTTTGAAAGACTACCATTATATTTCCATCTACTAGTACTAAAAGTAGAAAGAAGGTATACATTCCACTAGAAAAAATTAGTATTAAATATTAGCGCATATTCTTTTATAATATGCCCTTTACGATTTTTAAGGTATTTTTATCAACGTATTTTCACTTTTCTATTTCTTCATTATATTTTCACTTTCAGCGATTCGACATGCCGTAATGGTTTCTTTATTGTTTTTTATTCTTTGTTGCTGAACCAAATGGACCTTTTTTACGATTGCAAAAAAGTATTTTTGTACATTATTAAAACAGGCCCAATGTTATTCATTTTTCGTATCCATGTTATTAATTTTGTAATAATTCAGGGGAATTTCTGCACAGCAATTGTTCCGTTTTCTATCTTCTTGAAGTTTACCTAAACAAAAACTGAAGATCAGTGAGCAAACCTCATAGTACGTGCGCAGATCTACGCCATAAGCAACTGTCTTTTGTCCTTGTACGCACAGTGAGTGAATGAGTGATTTTATTGGAAATCCGGGCCACATATCGCCCGTGTCCCACAACCACCTGAACAAGCGCTTTCAAGAAAAATCCTTCCTGCTGGTTGTCATGTTCACCGGGTCCATTTACGGAGCTCTCTGATTCGAGAAAGTCGCTTGACTTACTTTCCAGTTCCTTGGCTGGTTCGCAGAAATATTTTCTATATAACAAGTAAAGGCTTTGAATTTAACCATATAATTATTCTACATATCTCTGTTTTTTTTTAAGTTTAAACCAACTTAAAAACTGTATATGATATTGATGATTAAATAAGAAAAGAAATAAATACAATAATTAATATTAGCTGAATGTGGTGTAGTTGACGCTTTAAACTGTTTTAAAAATATTTTGATAGGTAATAGGTACATATAGACAATTTAAAAATTCAGTTGTCTTATTTTATTCTCGATTGTAGTACGAGCATAAGTATGCAATATGAATTAAAATTAAATAATTTTAAAAATGTTTAATCGCAGGCCTTCTTGGGAATGTTCTTTCGGGCTTTGGTCATTACCTACTCCAGAATACGGTGATCGAAGTTCGTTGTATTAATCCGAAAGTTTACAGAAGAGTATATTTTATTAGACAGCTTATTATATAAAAAATGTTTATAACAGCATGATCCTGTTTTAGAAAATACTGTTTCATTCTTATAGATACCGATTAGAATATAACTTCATACTTTAAATTCTCCTTCAAAATGGGACTATCCCATTAACAATATCTTACATCTTACACACAACAATTATCCTACAAAATGACATTCATCCTAGGGGTGCCAACACTTAAAATTAATATTTACCCTCTAAGTATCCAAGCCCTGTACCGGACACTGTGAACAGCGGTGTCCGGGCGAAATAATCGCTAGTGTCCTGTGTCGACTGAGAGCCGTGGGCACAGCTGCATTGCGAGGCTACAGAGATAATATTAAAAATTCAAAAGTAGAAACAAATATTTGATATCATCATATACTTCAACTCCTCAGTGAGACTATCTTTTCTCTTATTTGAAACATTCTCAAAATTTGTCGTAACGTGAGAGTTCAATCACTAATTCCAAAATGTATCACGTGTCATTAATGATATTTTTCATAATTTGTTTTGCGTTATTTAGGAAAATGCCACGAGTTTTTTAGTAACCGAAATATATTAACATTTTCTCCAATTACATTAAGAATTAGCAACAATGCTACAATCACTACCTTCTTTATTTTCCGACAGTGAAGGAAGCATTCTCTGTTTTCTTGCGCTTTACTAACGATACAATTACAAGGCAACGTTGATGGCTCTAAACTTCATTCCAACGAAGAAATTGAGAATGTAGGTTACTCCACTCAAGGAATTAATCAGAGGTGATTTTCGAAGCGAGAGAAAGGAGGGGACTGAATAAAAAATAATATCTTTATCACACAAATGATACTGTTTTATTTTTCTGCCCCGTTTGATTGTTCATAAGACAATAAATGCTAATGGGATAGCGATTTCCTGAACCAAATTCAATGCGGCTTGTATTCTACATTGTAGTTCGTATAAAAATTAGTCAATGTATCAAAATGATTCCTAATATTCTTCCACGTTTCTGAACCCTTCCATATATCAACTCTAAAAAAACAACTCTACCAACACTAAAAATTATTTTCTTTACAGAAACTATAAGTATTTATGAACATCGAAGCACAAGTCATTTTATTTACATCTCCGGAACGACCTTCTCCACTCTACACCACCCCGCTCCGCTCCTGAACACTTTCTGCATTCCTCACCGAGTCCCGTCCTCATTTGTCCTTCCCGTCCCAATAACTCTCCCCGTCCTTACCTACACTCTACCTGTCCCTGCACAGCCCTCCTTCGCCACACTCGATCCGATCATTATGACAACACAACCTCCCAAAACATGAATGCAATGTAGTGTTGCATTAAACCAAACTTGGTGAAGAAAGAAATTTTCGAGTACTATTTTGAATCGCCTATGTTTTTATCCCAACCGCTCACACCTATTTGTTCAAAATTTGAATGAAATTTCTCAACGCGTTGCATAGCTCTGCTTTGAACGAACGGGCACGGACTGGAACACGCACATCTTCTAGGTATTGAGATGGCGTTGCGTTAGATTTTAATGATAGATGGTGGTAATTATTCTTAGGGCGTTTGCCTTCTGGGCTGATTGTCACCTGAGATCACTTAGGGTACAATCAGGGGAGTTCAATTTGTAAACAGTGTCTGACTAGATCCACTGACACTGCACTGGAACAATACTCAAGGATTATTCAGACACAAGATTCTTACATTAATTTTATCATTTTGTCATTTTGTCTTCGGACGCCGAATTAATTGTGCTCTTTACTTTTGCAATCCACAGGACAAATATTACTGGGCTGGGGGCAAAAGCAATCTGTAGCAATTATGTACAGAATGTCCTAAATTCATAATTTAAGGCTATCTTCATAAAAATAACTTAAAGTCTAGCTATTGGTTCAATGGATATTTTTGTGTTACTGCTTCTACAAGATAGATTGTTGTTAATGTAACATAGGTTCCTTCATATCTGAGGATATTAGCATTTCTGGGGATATTAACAAGCGGGGCAAATTAACATTTCACCCGCTGAGCCAAAAGGAGCTATAGATTACCGTGTAGAAATTTCTATTAATTTAACGTCGAAAAACCGTTGAAAACTGTGTTACGTTTCTCGGACGAGAAATGCAATCTGGACACTGTTTCTTTAGCTCTGGAATCCTACAGAAACGCATCTAGCAAAAAGAGAGCTGAAAAAACTGCGCGCATGGAGAATTTACATGGGTATCCACTTGCTACTCGGTTTCGCTAGAGACCTGCTGGGGGCGGCAGCGGCGAACCGCAGCGTCA